AATTTTACAGTACCAAAATAGCTTCCAAGGATTGAAGATTAATATACACAAGGAGCATAGAGAAGTGAACTGCAACAGAGGTCCTTAGCAGTTCTATGAATATTCTGCTGAAAGAAACCAATTGGAAAACAAATGAGCAAAAATGGTATAGATTAAATAACACTCACTTATCTAGAACGGGTTATAGAAGGCAAAGAAACCTTTTTCAGTTACCCTCTGTCCAATGTGTTTACTGGCTACTGTAGGAACTCCTTCAGCCACCTCAGAAGTAATTACTTTGCACAGGTTATTTTTACAGTCAATTGCTGATATTGATTGCAAAGCACCATATTGTTGGCCTGTCTCTTTAAGACTTGGCGAGTGTTTTGGCATACTACCATTCTAACCTGTTCTTGTAAGAGTTTCTTATTGCCATGGTAACACTAATCAATCATCATGCTAAAAATAGCCCTTTCGTTTTGCAAGGGGCTATCTGGAGTGAATTGAAAATTCAGCTGCAGTGTGTGTTTTCCGTGTGTTGCTTTCATTTTATTTTATTTTAATCTGGAAATACCCCTGTTTATGCCTGCTAATTACTATTACAGACTCCAGTTATTTCACTGGTTTCTCTCTCGAGATTAAACCTCTCCCAATTTTTCTTAAAAGGGTTACATAAATAGAAAGTTTGCTTAAAAAAATACAGAATACTTGTTTATTTTTGAATGTCATAGGTGTTGGATGCTTAAAAAAATTTGCAGATATATCAAAACATTCAGCAGGTGGCAATATTAAAGACACCTCCTTAAAGAGTTTTACACAAACAAACATTATCATTGAAACCTTCAGACCGTGAATACACTATGACTCTGAAGATTGTGTCATACTCTGTAGAACTTAAGTCTAATTTAAAATTAAAGATTGAATTGGCCACTTTTTTTTTTTTCCTCAAAGAGCAGCCTTGCAAACCTCAGAGATAGTGAAATGGAAAATGGGAACGCGTGCCCTGCGCATTCCCGTGCGTGTCGCTGAGCTGCCAGCTCTGGGCTGGAGGGAGCCGAGCGGGAAGGGAGTGGCGCTCTGCAAGGAAAACCTGCGGAAAGATCCATTGCCGTTCACTCCCAGCTCCGTTCTGAGGGTTGCCCAACACCTGTACTGCTTGGCTAAGTAAATATGCTCCTCCTCAACAAGAAAACGGGGGTAAAAAGGGCTTTCTGCATGATGAATAACCGCGTCTTCTGGATGATGTAAAAACAGTTCCCAGGTTCTGCCAGAGTCCTCTGCCAAATAGTGAGAGTGCAACCGGTGAGTCATGAGACACGTTCTGTGAAATGGGCAAAATTTTGGACCCTGTTTTGCAAGGCAAAGGACCCCCCATTGCTGCTGAAACTGTGCTTGCTGATCAGCGGAGATTTGAAAGGTATCCAGGACCTTCTGGCGACTGTTAGTTTTTGTGTTGGGTAAATTCATGTTACCATTTATAGTCTCAGAAGAGATTGTTACAGCCCTCACCTTCACACTAATTATATAGTGAGGTGGCCTCTTGACAGCTTCGTGCAAAAAACGACTTTCTGCTTTCTCATGATGTGGCCTGAGGTGGATGACAGTTCTTCTACGCTAATCTAGTGTTTCTTTTTCAAAATACTAGAGTGGGAGATTTTTTAATTAGAGTTTAGACTCTGGGTCACAAGCAAGAGCAATTTGATTCAAGCAGTGGCTTGCAGAACCGCTCCAGGCAACCTAGCAGCATAACCTGGAGCAGGATGTATAGAAGGGCTGCGCTCTCGAGTGTCATTCTCTGACTCACCGCTGCTTTTCTGCGGGTGAAGGTAGGGGATATTTCTGAGAGCAAGGTTAAAATGAAGCCTGACTTTGGCTTTATATTCAAAATCTCCGCTGTTGTATGGAAGGGCTTACTGGTGGCCTGAACCTGCAGCTGTGCTTCACACCAACAGCATGATGATTTTTCCTGTTTTGTGTCTTTATCCTCTGCTGTACCTGAAATTGTTGTTTAAAAGCAGGTGTTTTGATAAAGAAAAATGTATCTAAATATTGAAAAATACACTCAATCCAACAACACCTGAAATTCCACAGTTAGATCATAAACAAAAATACTTTAATCAGAACAAAGGAACAGGAACCGTTTAGGGGTGTAGCTGTAACTGTGAAAAAGGCTGTTGGGAAGTTGTTTCCATCAGCAGGACTGTCCAGGCCGGCAGTGCTAGCAGCACCTCATCCTGTGCTGCACTGTGCTACCCGCCTGAACCCGGAGCTGGGGGGAGAGCTGTCCTGTCCCCAGCTGATAGGGTCACAAGAGGACAATTTCTGTAGCCACTTCTGGACAAGCCACTAGACTCAGACTTTTTGACCTGCAAGCTGCAGACTTGATGCAATGAGCTAAAGCGCCGCAGTCTTGGTGACCCTTCCCCAGTGATACATCATTTATGTCACCCACTGCTTCTGTTCTTATTCGTTGCTAGTTTTTATTTTGGGGGTTGATGTTAATTGTATAGCAAAGACAATTAAATCTCAGTGCTTGAATCAAGAAGGAAAATATTTAAAACATACTAATAAAATGTGCCCTAGAGCTGCAATCTTGAAATGCAGACAGTGCCAATGAGCTGTTTTCCTAGTAATTGTTCTAAGCAGTTACTATATCATGAATAGCACAGCATACATCGCTCTGGTTTTTGGTGGAAATGTTCCTAAACGCTGTTATTCAGGTATAAGCTTTGAGGCCTCAGTAACGTAGCGTGAGGTGTGGCATTCAGGAAGCAGCACTAGGAACTGCTGATTCCTTGGCAGGCTTCTCGCGTTTCCTCAAGGATGCCTTCCCCCCGGATGCCCAGATGCAGTTCTAGCTTGTCAGCAGGAGCTCTACGTGCTTGGACTATGATCCCCACAGTTACATATATTTATATATACCTTTGTATAAAGTGGAGCTGCCATAAACTGATTTTTGAGATCCATAACCCTCCCCCCCTTTTTTTTTCTCCAGACCAGCACCGATGTGTTTATTTTCCGAATGCTGTAAAAATTATGCAGTGCTAAATCTCTGTGGTTAGGTTACATATTTTGAAAATATGCTTGTTATCATCCACCTTCAGTAGTAATTTACTTTTTCAATCCTCTGTATCCTCCCACAAGCAAGGAAACGACTAGAATGTTGGTTTTGTTGATGGAATAGGAATCCTCTGAGGCCCATCGAGCATTGGGTTAGGACATGCTGGTGGCCCACGACTCCCGAGTCTTTCCATATCTTCTCTAACACGGCATTTCATAACTTCACTCACTCTAATCAAGAGTAAGTTTGATCAGCCCCTTCTATTCCTCTCTTCTTCAGCTCAAGCCTTGCTCCCAGATGCTGACGCAGTTTGCGCTGGATTGAAATTCGGCTCAGTTAGCGCTTGAGCTGGCAGGGGATGAGCCCTGTGCCACGGGCGGCCGCGCAGAGCTTGGCAGCGCGTGCTAAGCCAGGGATGCAGAAGATGCGGGGGGGAAAGGGCCTTTTGCTGCCTTTGCCTTTGATTCAAACCTTGTAGCTGTCCTGAATTCCTAAGGAATAAGATTTTTTTCCCTTGGAAATTTCCCACAAATGCAAAAAGCCGGAATGGGAGCAACCTAGCTACATAACAGCATGCTGAGATAATGTGCTGAAGCATCATTTAGAAGGGTATCTGGTTTATTTATTTGTAACTTTGTGTTACAAGATGCCCAGTTCTGACAGACTGCTTATAAATACTGTGTATGTTCTACTGGCACTTTCTGAGATGTAGCCATAGGAAATGCTTAATTATCCACAAAACATGAGTAATAGGAGCCAGCTGATCTGGAGTGAACTTGCCCCATCCTGCACTCGACGCCCTGCGGATTCTTTGCTGTCATCCTGCACATTTACTCAGGGAACGAGCTGCACAGCTGGGAACCGGTCGCAGTTCAGAGGTGGATGGAAACTCGGAAATGTTCCATTCCACAGAAGTCTTCAGCAAAAGGCAAAAGAAGCACCTGATCCAAAAGGAAGCTTGTGTGTCTACAACAGCATCGTCTGACATGAGAGTACTCACTGTCGAACCAGGAGCCTTTCTTCCTCCCCCAAGTAAATCTTTTCTCTATAAAGGGTACCTGGTCCAAAAGGAAGCCTGTGTGTCTACAACAGCATCATCTCACATGAGAGTACTCACTGTGTTAATGGGAGAGAGTTCGAGCCAGGAGCCTTTCTTCCACCCCCAAGTAAATCTTTTCTCTATAAAGTCCATGACACCAGCCCCCTAATCTGGTGAGCTCTCCCGCTCTGCACCAAGATGATTATAGATGTGCTCATAAATACTAGATAACATTAAACCATTATTTTCTTTTTTAGTATATTCTATAGTCTCCAAGGAGCTTCCTTCTCATTTCAAGGTTACTGAATTGCAGCCAGGTCTCTAAATCACCTCAATTCTTAGTAATCAGCCCCTCCCTTGGAAGAACTCTCTAAACCCCGTCAAGTCCAAACTTGGACCGACAGCAGTGTGAACACTGAGGCACCAGAATGGCCTCATTGCACAGGCAGAGTCTTTAAGCAGCTGCTTTGCCATAGGGTGTGAGTGACGCGTTATACAAGGAACTGGCACCTCATTTTCACTGAGAATTTGTGCAAGAAGAGACATGATGAAAAGGAGTAAAGATGCTGAACTGGTATCCTTCAGAGGTTGTTAGATATCTACTTCATCTGCTGAAATATATGGAAAAGGTGATTTGAAAGAATGTGTAACACAAAATATATTTGAAGTACTGTATACAATTATGTTGCCTGGTATTGCAAATTTTAATCTAAATTCTAGTCTCAACTTTCAGCTAGAATTGCTGCAGCCTTTTGGAGCCATGGGAACATTTGCTTTCAGGTTTTGTATACATGTGAATATTTTTCTTGATGTAATCTCAAAAAATCAGAAAGCTGCTATCAAACAGGATGTACTGAACATGTCAACTAATGAAACAAGGCATTTTTTTATCATGTCAAACATTTTTTTGTTTTATTGCAGTGTTCATTTTTGCCTAAATTCTCCATTCATATAGAAACAAAATATGAGGACAACAAAGGAAGCAATGACAGTGTAAGTATGATGGCTTTTGTGAAACTGAATGTAGTTACTTAAGATCTATACTGGGAGTAAAGTATTTGCTCTGGGCAAAGGCCTTCTCAGGCTTGTATCTGTGCCCTCCGTGGGGATCCTGCCCATGGAAAGGTTACCTTGCAAAGGGCTTGCCGAAAGCAGAGATCTGTGTGCACAGCTTCTGCATCTCACAGTCTGCTTGTCACGCCTCTGAACACAATGCGATTCCAAGATGTCAGTTAATGAAGGTTTGTGGGACATGAGAAAGATACGAGGTTGTGTTGTGATTGTTTTCCATTTTATCTGTTGCATATTGTTTTCTTGGAGTAAAGGGAGTTGCATTCAAAGGAGCCCTTTAGGAAGAGCAAACAGGAAAGCGAACAATGGAGAGATGGAGATCTCAGGAACATGGAACAATGGCTGGGCTGGAGGGAGGCCTTGGCAGGCCCTGCCCTGAGGTTACGGAGCAATTCCAAGGGCAGGAACCTGGAGCTGGAAGGGATCCTTAACTGCCAAGTCCTCTAGGGAGAGAGGGCGGGAGCGCGGAGGCAGCTGCTGCCGCGCAGAAATGCTGATCGGGAGATACTCAGGAATAGCAGGTACAAGGTCGAGCAGGGTGTTGTCACCTTGAGCTGGCAAGAGCACAACTAGCAAGAAAAGAGGACCACTAGACACCAGCCAACACAGAAAGATGCGATCCTTGCATGAATAAACAAATATGTTTCGATATGTTTAATTTCAGCATGCCTTACACAGGCATTTGCTGTAGACTTATGGGAAGAATCTCCTTGCAGGTGTGAGATACAGGTTAAAATGTTAGGAAAACTGATTTGTAACATAGAGATCTAGTGAGGGCTGTTTAAACTGAATTTTGAGAGGGGAGAAAGCAGCAAAGCAGATTTTAAGTGGCTGTGAGACAAAACCTTTCAGTTTCCTGGGATGTCTCCTCCGACATCTTGCTGTTTTCTTAAATGGGAATTGCATTGCCCTGACTGACCTGGGTCTGCAAATTAAGAAGACTGACAGTTATTTCATTGCTTATGGCCAAAAAAATACATGTAAAAGGACAAGATATAATGCTGTTTTTTTCCTTTCCCTTCCCTTCCCTTCCCTTCCCTTCCCTTCCCTTCCCTTCCCTTCCCTCTCCTTCCCTCTCCTTCCCTTGCTGTGATTTTGTAATTCTTAGTATGTTATTCACCAGTGTGAATGTAAGAAGCCAGTGGCAGAGCTGCATTATTTGCTATTGATCCTGTGACATTGATCTGCTGACGCAGATGTGGTTCATGCAGAGCAGGATGCTGAAAGCTTGATGGAAATGGAGAGAAAGCTGGAGCTTGTGGGGGGACTTCGGGTAAACCAACACCCCAGAACTAGCACCAAGATTCGATCCGGGGTCAATTGCTGTATGGACCGGCTTAAACCTCAATTAAAAATGTGAAGTATGTTTTCTGTTGTTTCAGCCAAGTTTAGTTTAGATTTTACTGTGTTTATTAAGGCAGAAAAAAAAAAAGAAAAACAACAGAGAAACATAGTGTCCATTTTTTAATAAATTTCCATGGATACGTGGATATACTATTGCAACCATCACTGCAATTATCAGCCTGGTCTGGTGAAGAAATAATTGAGGCAAAAAAATACTTTCTACATTTTGAAGTTTTCGTGCGAAGTTTAATGAATGATCCTTATTACTAGAGCTGTAAGGATAGTAATGAATGTCTGGTTTTAACTAAGTTATTTCTAGATTTTCCTTGAGACTGTGCAGTTTTTTTAGATAATTCTTGAACTCTGATCTTTTCTCCAATTCCATGCTATGTAATAAAGTAGATATTGATTGTAAAAAGGAATAATTAGATATAAGGATACCAGCTAATTACATTGATTAGTGGAAGAAAGCAATATAAATGCTTTTGGGTTCCTGTTGTCCTTTAGCAGGCTGGTATATAATTATTATTATTACATTCAACATGTTGCATTGTCTGGTAAGATTCTGCCTACACTGCTGCAGTGTGTCTTGATGCAAATGTCTTCCTGATTTCTGCTCTCAATTGTCCTGATAGCAGAAATCAGTGATAGATACCCGCTTTGGGACTTGATCTTTCTGTGTCTTAGGCTTTGGCAACACTTTAACCTATGCAAAATGTGCTTGAAGCAGTATCGTTCTGATCTGCTGGAGTTTGCACTTAATTTGCACAAGGACAAATATTGCCCAAAGTACAAGCATAACGAAAAGGAAAACCCATCATTTAGATAAAACACTTAGGAAACCTGTTCAGATGTAATGCAGTACCATAAATCCATGCACTGCTGATCTCTAGTGCCACAGCGTAGCTGATGTGTCCGGCTGTTCACATGGCAACTCTCCCCTTAGCAGAACAGAAGCACTACTGGATTACCCTGTTAGTACATCAAATATTGTCACTGCTCCTCTGCAGCTTTGCAGCACCATTAACCAATTGACCACGAAGTCAGGCCATTCAATATTTACTCTTAAGAGTCTTTTAAATAGTGAAGTGTTTATTTAAAAATTTTAAATGGTATTTATAAAGCAGAAGGGCTTGTAAAATAGCAACAGCGCTGTAGGTGACATCTGTGCTGTGCTCTATCTGCATTGAGAGAGTTACAAGAGTATTTGAGAACTGCCTCCCTCTGGCATCTTTTGCTGCTTTCGCTGCTCGCAAGAGGCAACGTCCCCGCGGCCCCGGAGCCCTGGCTGGACCAGCGCGTGGAACCGCTCGTGCCCACGTCGCTGCCCGCAAGGAAAACCATCGGAGCAGTTGGCTGTGGATACACAAAGTCTCCCTTCTGAACAGCAGCTTTTCCTTAAAGTCCTAGTAACATAATTTGAAAAGAATTGCTAAACTTCCTAATTAATTGAATGTTCAGAAATCACAGGCACTGTAATATGGTTTTTATTAATAACTTTATTAACCTCTTTTTTACTTGGGTAAATAATTTTGGTATTAATTCATCAGTGTTGTGATTGGTTGGGATTTATCTCATGAAAGGCTAATTTTATTCCATGTTAGTTTGTTGCTCTCATTTTTCCCCATCTCTATTCTTAGTATTAAGTCCAGTGTACTCCACAGAGTAACAGTTGTTTATCTGGAACTGTAGTGGGGAATGGGCCAAATCCAGCATGTCCATGGACTGCAGAGCATGCAGCACATGGCTGCAGGTGGCCACACTCACTGGAGAGTTTTGTTTGAGATGTCACCTTGACTCTCAGAGCTCATTGCTCCTCGGGCGCTGCAATGACGTTGATACTAATTGTTAATTCCTGTATGTACAAGTTATTTCGTTTGTAATTTCTGAACTGAGTGTAAACTTGCATTTAAAAAAAATGCCCTCTAAAACTGAAGTAATCCATGTTTATTCATACGCAGTTGTGTTTTCCATAAATGTCCTCTAATGCGGGATTACAGAAAAAAAATAATACATTAGTTCTATTTTTAGGCCGTAGTCTTATAAGCTTTGGCTTTTATGATTTTTTTTAAAGCAATCAACAGCTGTCTGCAATGTCTGCGATTTATCTTAATAAGAAGTAGATTCTTATAAGGTCTCTAAAAATATCCTCCTGATGATCCCCCCATTTACACTTCAGAAGTGCCCGAGACAGAGAGCTCTTGAAATGATGATAATATACCTGGGTCACGGACTGTAAAATAGGTATAAATACTAACTGCTGTGACTAGATTTATGAGCCTTTGGCTGTACACAGTTAATTTTCTCCAGGCTTTATCTGAGATTTTTTACTTAACTTACACCAAAGACAGATCATTGTGGTATGTCATTGCCTTGGGATGAAATTTGGTAGGATTCTCGTTACATATAAATATGTTCTCTTTTCCCCTTATTCGGCATTTCAGAAAAACAAGCAGCTGGGGTGCCATGTACGTTGCCTTTTGTAGTGCAGGGGGCTGGCGATGACAGTCCCGGCGTCCTTCCTGAGGGACTCTGCTCCTTGCCCGTGACCTCGGGGTTGCCAAGGAGGTTTCTCCTGGACTCCTACTTCCTATCTTAGAAACATGAAACTAGCTTATAAAAAGCCTCGATATAATGCTTGTAAATTCCCTGTTTAGGGAAGCTGGACCCTGGTGTCAGCTGGGATGGATTGAGCTGTGCTTTAGCTCGGCCGCAGTGAGCATGAGAATGTCACCCTGCACGTTGCCTGCAGGACCTTTTAGGCATCGCTGCAAGCCCAATACGCTGATCCAGAGGCCGGCTCACTTGGACGGGTAGTTTCTGTTTCGGGTCGTTCCTGTACGATGGTAGCGACCATCTCTGCATTGTCAGTCGATGCCTTGTGGAGCGGTGCCATCCGCTTTGCGCCCGGTGACAGTCGTTTTGGGCACGTTGTTTCTTTCAGATGCTCAACTACAGCTACACGGGCTGCGATCGGCCACGCTGACTGCAGCTGAAATCACAAATGTGCCGTAAATCCTAAATGCCCCAGTTGGGTGCTGGCACAAGATGCTGCAGACCTAATTATGGTGATCCTGTATTATCTAAGCTGTTGTCGTTTACAGTATAAATCACAGTTTTACAAAATTCAGACTGAGGCTAAAGCACCACTTTAATCCTACTTAAATCTCATTGTAAAGATTAAGTAGTCCATAAGGGATGTGTTGTCTGGAGGTTGTCTGGTGATACAGAAGTTAATATGATTCACACAGCATAGTAGATCCTGTTTTCTTGCCTAAAAACAAATCCAAAACAGATATATTTTAACCCATCAATTTCTAAAAGAAATATCTGAATTTAAAATATGTAAATGCATATATACATATATAGCATATATATTTTATATAAAATATTGTCTTTTTGCCATTTTTAAAGTGAGATGACATTGAATGGATCAATATAATAATAAGAAAGGAGAGACAAATTACACTTAATGTAGTTTTCTAATGAATAAAAATATTTTAGCATGCCATTCGTGTTATTGCCTGCCACTTTTTGTCATTCTGTGATTCAGTTAGTTTAAATAATCCTCTCTATCACTTCTAATTCCTCTTAGAACATGGACATGCATAAATGTTTGTCTCATAAAAAAGTTGTCACAGACCAAAAAAAAAACCAAAAACACCTTAGCCTTAATGTTATTCTTTATGAGTTTTTGTTTCGTTTTCTTTGATTTTGTTTTTATTTGTTTATTTGTTTCTGTATACTTCAATCTTAAATAATTATTTGGCTTCCAAATGTGAAGCTTTTCTAGATCTTACCAATATAATATTTAGCATTCAGTCTTTCTACATTGTGTTCTTAAGGATACAGATTGTTCTCTCCATTCGTTTTCTGCACATTGACAAAGATAGTTGCACAGATTGGGGGCCTTATGCTTCTTTTCATGGCCTTTAATCTCTTCCTTTAAAACTTTTTAATTTTTCTCGTCTATTTGATCACAATTGAAATCAATCCATCCTCCTGCAGCTTTTAAGAGAATCCCAGATTATTTGTCTAGGAGAGGCAATAAGAGAATTAGAGCTAAGAAATCAGTCTTGTTCTCTAATGACTTCTTATTTTCGACTGCTGATAGAATGAGAAGATTTAATCTTTAGCTGCAGATCTTGTGAGGACAATGTAAGAAGGTAAGAAATGTAAATGATTAGACAAGAACTCCTGCTAGGAAATGGAAGTGAGAATGCCATTCACCAAACTTTTGGACCAGAAGAAAGGGTCTGGGACAGCGCAAGCAGCAAATAAGGCAGAGTTGAAGTAGCTGCAAAATTCCTCCTAGTTGTGAGTGATTGGGAAAACATCAGGCATCCTCATTTTGGAAGTGTTTTAGAGGGAAAAGATTCTGAATCTGTACTACTTACAGTTGTAATATGTGGATCAGGCCTGTGCCAGGGCAAGGTATGTTTTTATCAGAAAAGCTACGGAGCAGTAGTTTCAAGCTAGGTCTCTTCAAACTTACCAAGATACTTCTGACTGTGTCACTGTTAAAGTTTCTTTAATTCTTTCAGATTTTTGACAAAGAAGCTAAAGATCTTGAGCGAGAAGTCTGCTTCATTGATATTGCCAGTGATGATATTCCTGAGCGCTATTACAAAGAATCAGAGGTAAGAGACAAGTTGACCATGAAATAATCATAAGAAGCTGCAGTAAAACAGCATTTGTTTGTGCTTGTTGGAATGCTTTTCATCCTCTAATTGTTACTGCAAACTTAGTATCAAGAATGCCTTCAGCATTGCCCACACTCAGTATGTATTTAATGTTTTCATAACTAGTAGATAAAAATTAAAAGCTAGTGGTTTGCAGTTAGCTTACCAGAAATGGATGCTTCACAGCTGATGTGTTTCACATGGCCCTCTTAATCAGAATCTGGTATTTTAAGATGTTGGTCATAATCTTAAAAAGGGGTCAGAAGTGGTTCTTTTTCATGGATATGGACAGAGGTTTAAATGAAATTATCCTGGTCAATAGTATGTGTTGAGCTTTTGATCAGAAGCTGATAGCAGTCTCTATCCACCCTGCCTGAGATTTCTTCTGGAGGTGACTCCTGCAACCATTTGAAATGCTTTTATATTTTCGGTCTCTGCAGCAGGCCTGTGATATTCATTCAAAGTAGAACCATTCCTTTTTCCTTTGAGCCACGTAGCGCAGTTGAGTGTGCAGTTCCGAGCAGCTTTCAACATTGCTGTTTTCAATATTGGCATCCCACCCCAGCTAATAACCATATGAGCACCCTGCACCCAGGCAGAGGGCACACACACTGCAGTGAGAATCAGGCTGCTCAGGTGCCAACGAGACCAGGAGGGACTGAGGCTGCAAAGGAACCCCACATTGCTGCAAATCTGCCCCAAAGCATCAAAGGCAGCAGGCACATTACCTCTGCTTAAACCCCTTGAGAATCACTCCCATTTATATTTGATAGTGCACATCTCTGAAGACACCATCTCTTCCAGGTCAGTGCAATTCACTCTTTTGAAATCAGCAACAACCATGTAAATGAAGCTGAGGTTTCATTTTTTTTAACCTCGAATTTGAGAAAAATGATGGTTCAGAACAAGTAGCTAGAGAGCAGAATGATGAGCTCTATGCTTGGGTTTCGTTTTGGAGATCTGATTTGCCTCTGGAGCCAATTGCATATTCATAGCTGGCAGTGTGTATGGCAGCTGTTTAACTGCACAGAACATCATTTTTAGGATAAAAAATGAAGACTTGCCAATGAAAATATTTCTGTAACACAGAAGACATGTTTTTCAGACTCAAAAGTCATGTACTCTTTATTTATAGAACCTATTTCAATATTTAAGTACTGGTCATAGAGGAAAATTTGGTCTACAGGAGAATGAAAAGGGTTTTTTTTTTTCTGTTTCATTAGATAATGAAACCCATCTGTTATGTATCAAATATTATATAACACCTCATGAAACAACTTATTGGTTCTATCATCTTATTCGAACTCCATGGTTTTCTGGCCTATTTAGGAATGGCAGTGGCTACTCAACTGGTCTGTAGCTGGTCATGCTTTAAGGAAATGGTGTAAGATTTTTCATCTCAGTTTGTCAGGTCGGTAATTTGTGAAAATAAAGGTAATATCTAGTTTTTAAGCTTTCCGATTTTTTTTAATAGCTAACTATTGACCCTTTTATATGATTTAACTTACGATATAGAAAAGCAGCTACATGTTAACTGAGAAAATAATGTAAAAGTCTGTGTGTTGTATTTGAAGGACAAATCTAGAGACCTGATTCCAAGCAAACCAGAATTTCTTATATGCTTCTAAACAACAAAAATAGCCTGGCATCTGTTATTTTTTTTTCCTGTATTGATGCATGATTTATATGTTGGCTACCAAATTCTGTTTCAAAATCCATACAAAATGATGAGAACATCGTAGCATTTAAGTGTGCATATACTGTAGCTGATATTGAATTTATGACAACTGAATTCAACATACTCTAAAGTTTACAACTATGTGTTTTTAATGCTACCATATGATGAATATGAAGCCAGATTCTCAGTTCTACAGAGGCTTTTTGCCTAATTTAGACACTATAAAATGGCTCTCTAGTCTTTGTAAATGTAATTTCTGTCCATTTTCAGTCTGAACAGTATAAAAAAGTATCTTTATGTGAACGCAAAGCTGTATTTTCAAATACTATTTTCACAGAAAAATAAAACCAGTTAACTAAGCTCTTCAAAGGTATTTTACTTACACTAATAAAATAAGTTGGCTGCTCTTAGATCATTTAACATAAATTGATGTAAATTGATGCTAAAGTGATGAAAAAGTAAAACAAATACAATCCTTAGGTTTTAAGATTTAGATCTCCCAGGATAAGCATTTTGACTGGGACCAGGGAAAAACCAATGAGAATGATTTTAACTTAGGACATGCCAGTGATCTCTTCATTTCAATGGACCTTTCACGTGCTTAAAATTAAGCAAGTTCCAGACCAGAGGCAGCATACTTAGCACCTTCTCGAAATAGGCTCTGTCTTTTATGTCATGATTAAAATGCATCCCCTGAATGAAGAGTACGCTTCAGTTCTTGACTGGAATTTTCATTATTTTTTATGGTACTGTTTTGGAGAAACATTTCATTTAAACCTTTCACACGCTACTTAACCTGCTTGCTGTTTGTTAGTGTTTATGAGTCTGTCTGCACAGGTGGATTGATGGTTCTTTCCTGATGTGATCAAACAGCACTAGTTTTTGTGATTCGAGTTGTTTATTTTTAGCTTTAAAGTGTTCAGCTGTCCTTGGTAAGCTCTTCGTGTCAATATCACAAATTTTTCAAGGTCCTCTGCATGAAAACCCCCCTTCTACAATTTCACTGTGACCTTTCTTGGAGTTTGTGCATCAAATAACTCATTGGTTATGACGAAATGAATTTCAGTGTTGCTTTTCTCATTTATCTAAATAGAAGATAATACCTGTGTATGTATTACACACATATCATTAATACAAGTGATAATATTGCAAACAGCACAGTGAATAAGTATATCCAACCATCATGTATTCCCCATATATATATATATATATATTCATCTGAATTATAGAAGAACATGAAACTGAGCTGTGCTGAAGAACAAGGGCCTCAAGTGAATCATTCACTGAAATGAAACATTCACTGTAGGTCTGAGCTATTGAGCAGAATGTTCTTTGCCACCATATCCAAGTTCTCAGAATTCGCAGTGTTTCATTTCCTGTTTATAACAAAGCAATTGAAAGTTGGTCACAGGGAATAAACTTACCTCCAAATAGCAACATTTCATGCAGCTGCCACCATTTTCTTCTTCAAGCTCTGTCTTTTTTGACTTCAACACAGCTGCACCATAATGGAGCCATCTAACTACTGTCCAGGTGCATTCGGAATAATAACCCTTATTTTACATTAGAGCCCAGAACATGATAATAGTTGAAATAATACTGCTGCCACAGTGAAAGCTGACAACTATAGTTCAGCACAGGATGTAGCAGCAACAGATAAACGGATGAAATTTGCCTTTTTCTGTCTTCAGTTGTAGTTTTCATAAAGGTGGCTGGATTATCTTATGCCACATGCATTACTTTCTGATGACAGTGGTTGAGTTTCTTCTTCGATCTACTCCCGTTAGGACTGGCTGTGTCTGTTTTTGAGGCGCCGTGGCGGAGGGAGAAAAAGGCTTGTTTTTACCCCGTTTTTACACCAGCAGATCCTCCCACAGCACCAGCCCTGCAATCTGAAACCCAAAGCCTCGTTGCTGCACTGGTAGTGAAGTATCAGATCACTTATATAAAAGGTGCAAAGGTGGAAGGAAGAGCAGCGCTTCGGCCCCTGGTGAACTGAGTATTAGCTCTAAGCAAGCACTCAGTAAAATTGTTAACATCTTGGTATTTAACACAGCAGTCTGGAAGCAGATTTCTCTGATTTTTTTTTCTCTTTCCTATCTTTCATTCACCAGTTTGCAGTGACACAGTATCAATATATTAATGCTTTGAGAAGGAAGGCATTCCCATAAAAGCTGCTAGATGGATGTTGCCCCTTCTGTCTGCCAGCGCTTGGCTGTTTGCTTGAAACTGTCCAGCCAATTTCTGCCTAAACATCTTGTCCTTCAAGAAGAGCAGGCGTGACTGAGGGAAGCAAAGGTGCCACCTCGGGGAGCTGTTAAAATTTGCAGCTAGAAGTGATGCCATGATAAAACAGCCTTGCTGTGGATGGGTCGTGTGTGGGACATCCATATAAGAAAGATTTCTGCTATGAATCCCCTTGTCTGCTGGGTTAACTTTACAAAACCAAAGCAAAACAAAAGCCTCACGCTGCCTTCACAGCAGCTGGGGGGCTGCAGAAAACACAGGTCTCAGGCATGTCTGAAGAGTCATGCAGTGGAGCTGTGCATTGAAACCCAGTCCAGTTAATCACATTAACCCCTTTGGAGTGCATTGGAGCTATTTGATTATAGATGTCAGTGAATGATGCACAACACTCAGGGTTATTGAGGAGCACATCTGAGGTGCTTCGGCAACACCAAGGCTCCCTCGCGCCTGGAATGTGCCCACATGTAGGAAACGGAAGACCCTTCCTTGGAACAGGGGGTTTCCTTTTGATTTTACTTTTTAGAAATTCTTACTTTTTCTTGGAATATTTGAGATCATATCTTCTGTAATTGATTTATTCATGGAACCATTTTCCAGAATTCTATGCCTTTCTAACTTACTCGTAGTATTTATGTATCTATATCTATACGTGCTTTTTTAATACCCTGCTTCCTTAAGGCAGTTATAAAACAGCTCTTTTCAACTAGAAAATAACCAGATCAAGCTGAGGTCAAGCTTTAGTGAATGAGAAGACTAGCAAACACCATGTGACTGTGAGCTGTGGTACACAGTGGTATGTTGCTCTGATATATGATGACACTGAATTGTTTCTTATGGTGATTTAAAGGTGAAACCTTATACTGCAGGCTTCACATTTCTGTAGAGAAAAGAATGTGTCAGCAATAAAAGCAATGACTTTCACAGGGAGGGGAGACCATCAGCTCGTTAGAGCTTGATAAAGAAGGCTTAATGGCAAAGTTTGAGAACTGCAAACACTAGGAAAAAAAAAAGGAGTGTGGCTGAGTGATACCTAAATTCACACTCAATGGCAGAAAATTCCTAATAAAAATAGCTCGTTTCTTCCATTGGTCATATCCAACTTAGCACAAAATTTAAGCACTTAACGTGGCATATTTTCCTGTAGCAAAAAAATCTCTTAAATGAAATTAGCTTTAAAGCATTTCCAAGAATATACTCCTATCACCAACTCACTGGCAGCTGGATAGAAGACAAGATTTGATTTTAGTAGGTCCTTGTGTTTATGTAAGTAGATTTTGCATCACTTTTTCATATTTTTTGTTAACATGTTTTGATATTTTATATCTTATTAGAACATTTACTTTAGCAAATTCTAAATAGGACTTCATGTCCAGGATTTCTGAATGTGTTTCCCTTGTTTTGCAGGACCCTAAATATTTCAAGTCACAGAAGACTGGGAGAGGTCACTTAAAGGAAGGCTGGAGAGACACTCACCAGCCAATTATGTGTTCCTACAAACTTGTGACTGTGAAATTTGAAGTTTGGGGACTTCAGACCAGAGTGGAGCAGTTTGTACACAAGGCCAGTGAAGGCTGTTTCCTACCCTTCGCATGAGCAGAGCGTTGTGCAGCACATGAACGTGGTGCAACACCTGCCCTGTGCTGGAGCTAGGGAGATCAGCTGAACCTGCTCTCGGGCCTTTCGCAAGGTCTGAAAGATGTGGAGCACAGCTGAAATGTTCATCTGCTCGTACAAACTTGCCAGAGTCTGTCATTGCTGAGATCAAAAAATTGAGACAACTAGCACTTGTATTCTCAATGCTGTGCTGAAGATACAACCTAAATTATTTGGGAGTATAAATGAGTAACTTATATGTAACCATGATGTGCAGGGTTTCTTACAGATGTGTACTGAGTTTTCCAGTCAGTCTACTAAAGAATTAATAAATGGCATAACTACCAAATGCTAATATTTTTTCATAGTACTGATATTTAAACTCAGAGTACTGAGTTGAAAAAATTAACAGGAAAAGGGTTCCCATCTAGTTGCCCAAAGGTTAATGATTTCTGTGCTTACCATTCCCAGTTGAATTCCCAAGGAAGCTAAAGCCACATGGACCTGATCTGGGGGTGGCAATAGTCCTACTTCAAATGGGAGGTTGGTCTCCAAGACCTCTAGAGGTCCCTTTTGGTCCTGCACGATATTTCTGTGATTCTTTAGTGTATGTCTTTTTAGTGACAGAAGTGTCTTTTTTGGCCTAAATCTGAACGACAATAGTGTTACTTTTCTCAATTGTTTACTAAAGGGTATTCCTTTGCCTTATTTTGCAGGTGGTCAGAGACATCCTATTGCTTGGACACCGGCAGGCTTTTGCCTGGGTTGATGAGTGGTATGGTAAGTCTTCTCCAAATGAAACACATTTAAAAGGGCTGATCCAAAGCTTATAAAAAATAATGACAGATTTTCACTGGCTTTCGTAGAGCATCAGGTTCTAATATAAATATGAATTGTACTTGGAATTACGTTTGATTTCTCTGGAATATATACAGCTCATTTACAGCAGGCTCCTTCTAACAAATGTAGGCTGTGTTTTAGACAGAGAGTGGGTACCAAAAAGGGCCCTCTGTGTTTCCCTACCCCTTGGAGTAGGTGCACATGTCCAGCCACTGTTTTAGGCAGATGGAAGCTCTCCCTGCAGAGTCACCTATATCTGGAGAACAGCAGGCAGGTTTGAATAAAGCTTCTTAGTGAGACTGTACTCACATGCAATCATTTCCATACTGTAAACTTCTAAGGCCTCTGATCCAACACATTTTCAGCTTTTCAGGAAGGTTTTAGACTGTTAATATATAAACCCCAATAAAAAAAAAAAAGATGGAGCTTTAAAGTCCTTTCTGCAAAACGGATATAAATATAAAACCTACTCAGTCTGATTCAACAGCAGCTGCATGTAAAAACTGCTCCAAATCCCTGCACCAGCTGTAGGAATGGGCATTTTCAATGGTACAGGGTAATTCTGAACATTTATATATTCAGAATTTATATGTGTTTTGTATATGTATGTACACTGTACAGCAAACTCACTGGATTAGTCTTTTTTACATACATTTTCAATACGATGTATCCATAATCATAGATACTTGTAGAACAGTTATTAAAACATTCTTGTAACATAGAATAGCATTTGGAAACCTATTTAGATTATATCAGACCCTGCTTAAGTTTCAGCAAAATACTGTATGGGGCAATTCATGGATGAAAATGACATAAAAATGACATGAATGCTTCTGAGTTCATCAGAACATTCATCTACAACTTGATTGTACTATTTGAAATTATAGGAAAAAAAGTGTTTGAAATAATAATTTATATAATTATAAATTTAATAACGCATGAGAAAGCCTGTTTTGTAATGATCTTAAAAACACTAAAATCAGCTAAAAAATGTGGGTTTTTTTATTTGCAAGTAGCCATAAATGAGTATTCAGTAAGAAAAGAGTTCGTAAGATACCTGATTTTTTAAAATTTTTTACAAGAAATGCAGTGATCCACTATCTCCCTGCACAAGCCTAGATCATGGATATGCATGAATTGAAATAAAGACCTTGGAGAACATTGGTTCTCTTTAGCTATCTAGAAAATACTTTCTTTTCCCAGAAACAGAAAAAAACTTACAAATGAAGATACTTTCCAGGGTGATCACTTGAGATATTGTCTAAGTTGACTGTTTTCAAATGACTTTTTTGAACAGATTCTATTATGTTCAGTTTTCTTTCATATTTAACTATTTCCATAATATTAGAGTTCTCTTTCTCTTCCTTAATCTGTGATAGGTCTTATACATAATGTATTCTGGTTTTATGAATATACTATGGCAGTCAAAGGAAGTACAAAGACATTTTAACTGATGACTTTAAATAAATATGAAGTTCCTGGCTTCTCACCAAAGCTCATAAAACTGTCCCAGAATATGTATTAAAGCAAGACATAAATGTTATTGGGAAACCTAGAGTTAGCTGCACTTCTGCAAAGTTCTTGATACAGAGCACAAGTGAGTAATTATAAAATTAAACATATGGGATCAGTTTAGACCCAAAAAACATTTAGCTACAAGTTGCCTTCCTTGCCTCTCAGTGAACCCTGCCAAAAATACTTTCCATAAATTAAATATTGCAGTACACAATTATCTTGCTTTGTATACTGTCCTAGTGAGAATATTCACTAAATAATATGGTTGATTTTAGTACTTAACTGTCAGGTTAAGCACAAAACCTGAAAAAGAAAAATACCAGGGCATGCTAAAATAAATAGGAGTAAAGGCTAAACATATAGCAAGATTTATAAGGAAGTAGAAAGAAATGCAGCAGGTTAATGTAGGCACCTGCCTGTGCGGCCGGCAGCCCACGCGGCCACATCGTTCAGGCTCCCTGACCAGCAAGGGAGTATCCCATTCGGGATCCCTTTGGGATTAGGGAATTAGGGAGCTCCAGTTTCTACACAACTGCTGTGATTTAATGTGTTTGCCCTGTGCTGCTCTTTTGATAGTGTTCTTGACATGTGCATGCGTGTGGGGAGAGTTTTTTTTAAATATCTTTTTGTGGTATGTGTATGTCTTCAATGTGTCTATTATCCTCTTTTAAATTAGAAGTTTGAGGACGATTCTGAGAAGATGTAGGTCAGCTAAACTGAATGAAATAATCAGTATATTAAAATGAACTATCAACATACTATGTTGCTGGTGCAAGTATGAATGTTTTTTGTCATTAATTTTCCTGAACCGTATTTCGCTTTGCTATTAAGAAACTCCATTTCACAATATTACTAACTCAGAAAATGCATGTTCTTTGCTTGGCAAAAATGCATGTTTCTTACCTGGCTTATAAGCTTGGTTTTAATTCCAGATAACAGTAAAAGAGGTTGAAAGAATATTTATGTTGGTGTTACTCCATGTTCCATTTTGATCAATATTTTACTCTGCACTTCATTTTGACTGATAAAGGATTGCATTGTGTTGCTGATAAAATAGATGAAGTTTTATCTTCCCTTAAAAGCAGTCGTGTGAAGCAAGAGTCTCATGTCATATAACAAGAAGTGATGTGGTAAAGATTTCACAAATCCAAATGACACATAATAAACTTGAGAAAAATGATAACCTCAAGAACTGAAACGAGGTGTACATTACTAGAAGTGGTACACATTTTGGAGTAATTTTCGATAATTGGATTTTTTTTTTACTAAAAAAACATGGTTTATGACAAAAGCATTTTAAAATACTCCACAGCTGCTGAGAGTTACACAGCAAGCAAGTCAGAGACTATTCACTGGTTTGACATCAGGCATGCTTAGGCAGTGATAAACAATTATATCACTAGAATTTGCCTGAATTATAGATTTTTTTAAATCCATTGAATGGTTTGAGGCCACAAAATTATTAAAGTGTTCACTAGTAGCAGTGTAATTAAGTGTTAGTTTCTGGAATTTAAGCTGATTGTGTCTTGAAAGAGTTTACTGGCTATGAGATATAGCATGCAAAGCTAACACTAAAATCCTTCTGAAAGGTCTGAGAAAGGTAAGTCTTTATAATAGTTTTTCATCTATTTTCTATTCCAAGGGATCTTCTAAAAGCTTTTTAGAAGATTCTCACCTCGCCAGGATGCGCACTTCAATATTTTTCGCCTCTTACGTTACACAGATTCTCCTAAACAATTTCCACTCCTTCCTGTTCTCTGGCTCCCTTTGACTTAACCTTCTATTTCTCCCTTGGCTGATCTAACTACCTTTATGAATCAATTTTCATAAAGCTAGTTGCTCCCTGCTTTTTTTTTTTAATCCTTTTTGGCTTCTGCTGAAAAGTGTATGTATTCCTAGAACCTTCTCCTTGAAAGGAAAAAAAAAAGTTTTCACTGAACCAATGGAAAATGCCAACGATTTTGAACTTTTTACAGATATGACTATGGATGATGTTCGAGAATACGAGAAAAATATGCATGAAAAAACCAACATTAAAGTTTGCAATCAACATTCATCTACTGTGGATGAAATAGAGAGCCATGCCAAAGCAAGAGTAGGTCGATTTTTAAAACATATTGCCCACCCTCAGCTCCTCCACCTGCACAGATCCCAGAAGAGCAACCAGCTTCACCCAGCTGATCTTGCTGAGCGGTCCCTGCGACTGTGGGCAAGTTCTGCTTCCATGGGAGCGAATCCATCTCCGGGAGTGCGATCCCGCATTTCTTTTGCTCTGTGAATGGGATTGCCCTAAGGAAGGGCGGGGTTGGGCTCACACCATTCCGTCTTCCAGGAAAACAGAATTCTCACATTTCAGTTGGATGCCTAAAGGGGGATTTCAGTATCTGTTTTACCTTCTTTTGTTTGAGTAGTTTGAAAGTTATGCAAAAGTTCAGAGTGCATTGGTCAAAAAGCCAAGAACATGGAGAGTGGAAAATTTCTATGGGACTGATAAAACTGCCTCACCAGGAAAAATTGCTAAGGGATCATCAACTTATTTCTATATGATTCTATATTCTGTATTCTATATTCAATAGAATTATATAGAATTCTATTTCTCCATAATTTTAATGCTGTCCAAAGAAAAAAAGCACATTATTTTTCTTTTGTTTCTCCTAACTGAGCCACACAAGTCAAGGATGGTTTTACAAGTAAGCAGTATTGGGCAAGGCACGAAGGGTTAAATCTTAAATCCTGAAGTGTTTCCATCGTTCTTGTTCCCTGAAAGTTCTCACTGGAATGAGAAGATGTTCCTTAAGGAGCTGGGAGCTTTATTCTTGTGTTGATATTGCTGCAATGCCATTAACATCAAAGTTACTTCTTACCCCATTACTGAATTGAGAAGCAGTTCTGACATGGGCATTACCTTCCAGGGTTTGCTTTTGAATAAAAACTCTGATATTCTTAGTTAGTCTGTGTGTATCGAAACTGCCATTGAGGTCAGGACAGACTTTGTCATTTATGAAAAAAAAAAATAATAATGAAATAGAGCAGCCACGTATTCCCGCATCCTTCTTAGCTCAGGGCAGGGCTTAGTTTTACTTGATCGACTATCAGCACAGGAGGCAGCATCAGAAAAACACAGAACTGAACTGAAAGGGCAGTGAGTTCCTATCTGAATTCAGAATGGACAGTCCTGGAGGACAGCACTTAAACAGAACCTCAAAAGATCTTTCTGCATTAAGGGCCAGTAAACTGACCAGTCTGCCTGTCCCATTTCGCTCTCATTCAAGGCAAGTTTTGTTCTATTTCGCACAGAAAAGCGAGCTGAAGTGACTGCACGGGCTCCCTTTGATGTCAACATGCTTTTAAATGGTCCAAGCTCAGAAACACTCTCTGCCCTGCTTTGGAGTGAAACAAAATGTAAATGAGCAAAACAGGTTCGAATCTATGTGCAGCAACAGCAGCTACAGTTCCTCTGAGACCATCTGTTTTATTTCCAGCACTTATCTCAGCTTTGAAAATAGCTTAGTCCTCATTTCTCTTAACTGGCGCTGCTCTGCAGGCCCAACCAGTCCCTGGGATGTAATCTGGAGGGAAGAGAGAAGGCAGCTGGCCACATGTGTGGGTTTGGTAATTTAATATGATGTTTTAACACAACATCCAGCTTCCTTCACATCGCTGTGTGCAGCCAGGGCTGCAGATGCATGCAGCTGGGCGATGTTAAAAGGTGTCCATGTACTGAAGTGTAGGAATTTGCCATATTTATGGTAAGTGCTGTTGCTAGTCCGTGTCTCAGAACCCAAATGTGCAATAATTCAAATTGATTAAAATATCATTACTTTTTATTTGGTTGGGTTTTTCATGTTTTTGCAGAGCTAGGAGAACTTATAAAATGATTTTATGAGACTTGACTGTCTCTGCCTTACAAAAACGTGCCAAGTACCACGACATCGATAGCGAATTCACCCAAATCGGATACACTGGTAAGGGAAGGCTAGAGTCTGGTCGTAGGAATGGATTCATCAGCACGTATAGACACACAGCAAAGCCTGTTGCCTCTTACGCGGCTACAGAAGAGAAGTTGTCCCTGTCCTACCATCCTCTTGCATCAATCTGGGCACAAATTTCTTTAACTTGCCCTTAGTATCATCACCTGAGTCATCCTGGGTGGTCTGAGTGTGGAGCAGGGGAGCAGCAAAATAAGCAAAAATAGTTGACGTTCATACAAAAATGTTAACAGAAATCTCAGATGACTTTTCTTATTTAATACTTACCAAAGATCTATTATTATCGAGGGGGAAAAATAAATTAGAAGGGGTTTTAGTGGACTTTTTTGGCTGAGCCTTTTTACTATTTTGTTGTAGTCAACGCCTCCCATTAAAGACACCATTTAGCAGGTAGCATTTTTGCTGCTCTGGCTGGGGTAGATTGGAATATGCTGAATTTCACTCTTTGAATTCTTCAAATAAATTCACTAACTGAACATGTTTTTCATTGGAGATCAGTAAATGTATTTGCCTGGGCACAGAGGACGCCCTGCAGGCCACGCAGGCCCGAAGCAGCGACTCGGGAGGGTCTTCCCGGCGTTGCTCGGGAGGTGTTTGTAGGAATCTCCGTTCGGGATATCCCTGGAACGCTCGGGCGCAGCGCGCGGGCTCTGCCCTCTTGTGGTGCCTGCGGCACCGTGACACCCCCGTCACCTGCGCGAGCCCCTCGCTGCTCTCACACCGCTCCTGTGGAGCGACGCGGCCTTCGCCCATCCAATCTAGCCTCATTTTGCATCCGATTTCCTGGGAGTTAAGCAGTGGATTTGTCAGTTGTCCATAAATACTTAAGTACTGACTCTGGACGGGAAATCTGGAAAGGTGTGATGGCTTCAGCAAATGAGAAGGAATTTTTGAGACTTTGCCTGTAGAAAGGACATATTGGCCTCAGTCATGTGCATACAACTGCAGCTAGGAATTGGTGGGAGCTGCGTTTGGGGAGGGAAACGTTTCCTCCCTCAGTAATGTCAGTGGGCAGCCAGTGTGCGTGTGCTGTGCCCCGCAAGGGCGTCCCTTTGGCTGCTGCAACACAGCTCGAGTTGTGCAGCAGCTACGGGGGAGCCTCTGCTCACAGCAGCGCAGGCTCGGGGAACCCTCACGTGCAATGATTCTAACAGGGCATTTTTCTCTCTTTTCTCCTTGTTGAAGACATGACAATGGATGAAGTCCGAGAGTTTGAACGAGCAACTCAGGAAGCTACCAACAAGAAAATTGGGGTTTTCCCACCTGCAATATCTATCTCCAACATTGCAATGCCTTCTTCAACGCGCAGTGCTCCGTCTAGTGCTCCATCCACTCCTCTCTCCACAGATGCTCCTGAATTCCTAACAGTTCCCAAAGAGCGGCCTCGGAAAAAGTCTGCTCCAGAAACTCTCACTCTTCCAGACCTGGAGAAGAAAAACCTTTAAATTGAACCCAGCATGTTTCCTTCTGATAAGCCATGTCTACCACAGGAAGAGTAACTCAAAGGTCATGATGGTTGGTTGGTTGGTTTCTGTTTAAAATAATCCTACTGCTGTGGAAGGATTGCTACTTTGCTCAGACACGATTCTCAAAACCTCCAGAGAAGTGCATGCAAGAGAACATAATTCATATATTCCTGAGGTGTTCCAAGCCATATGGCACATCTTCCTGACACGCAACGAAATAATCTGAGGCGAATCCTATAAAAGAAAAATATAATCTTTCTGTAGCAGTTTGCCTAGCTACAAATCTTCATCTAGGTCATGCCATTTATAACTAGGAGTAGGTATTTAGTGAAGCTGCCAAGGACTTCTGAGGCAAATTCGTGCCAACTAGAATGCAGTGTTAGCAGGAAAAAACCTCCCGTTTTCTTCTATCATAACTGGTTTTTAAATCCTTCCTACACTCAAGCTTCTCATGTGTATTCATAAACCTTTGACCTGTAGCTCATTGTACTTGAACAACCACCACAATCATTTGGATTCACATTTTGCTTAATATGACTCAGGAGTTGGGGCCAGACTAACACGAAACTTTTCAAACCTGAAGTATCACTGTATGGAAGCCCCAGTTGTAATTAATTATACTAATTTTGAGGCCATTCAACTATTTCTATCTTGCACAGAATTTGTAAAAGAAACCACCCTTTCTTGTAAATAATGTATTTTAATAGCTCTCCCCTGTACTTTTGTGATCTCTTCAGTCTGTATTGGTGTTCATGACTCCTGTTGTATGTGCAGATGGGAAAACAAGCAGCTATTTTGAACCAACTGAGAAGGAAAACGAGTGAATTGTACCCTGTCCCCGGAAGACTAGTCACGGTGTAAGACCTTGCTGTAGAGGCGAGAGGAGAGGAGATTCCTCTGGGCTTTTCCTTATCCTGCCTTTCATCTTCCGTAAGCAGCAGGATCCCCTGGCAGGAGGCCGGGCCCAGGCTCTCCCCTTGTCTCCAAAGAGGTGACGAAAATCTGTCACCTCCAAAGTGCGAACGAGCCCCAGGCTGCTCAGCCCTGGGCAGGGTGACAGAGAGGCAGGAAGGGCCCTTCCTGCGCTGCCTGGGGTCACTTCAGTGCCAGCGAATTGCCCCAGGCGCGTGATGGAGGGGGTGACATTTGTAACTGGGGCTGCGCTACCGCTGGGCGCCGACCAGGCCGGCCGGGGTGCCGTGTTCCTGCAAGGTCCCCCAAACCGGTAACTCGGGGCTTAGGGAACCAGCCCATGAGGAGTTTGTGAGGTGAAACAGCCACTGTCATGCTGCAAACAAAGCTCCTACATTAGTGCATGGCATCAGCTCACAGAAGAATGTATGGATTAAGCTTTCATGATCATAACTGGTCTAGTCATTATTATTTAATAGCAAAATTCATGTATTGTCAGAGAAGGCAGAGAGGGGAGACCTTTGAAAGCATGAAGTGTTTGGTTGGGTTTCATTATCTGCGTTTGACCTACGTACAAATCATTTGGGTCCTCCCCACCTGAAATTATATTTTTCAGTGAATTTGCATATGTATATTATATATATACACACATATAACTATTCATATATATATGTTTTAGCAACTGGAACTGCTTCACCTCCTATCCCATGGGATGACATTGATAATCATGTTAAGTAGCTTTGGGGATAATGAATATATGACGGGTAGGAACATCCCTGAGCAGGACGCAGCTCAAGGCTGCACGGGCGGTCTGGAAGAGAAGGAAGGAGCCGCTCGCGTCACGGACAGAGTGACCAGCTCTGGGGCTGGGGCCCTGCCCGCGCTTCAGAACAGCCGGAATTTCCGGAATTTGCAGCAGGCCAAGTGAGGACCATCCACCCGCGGCCGGGCGCGTCCTGGCGCTCGGGTGGAGGCACCCGCCGCGGCCGGCGCTCTGCGGGGGATGAACCGCCGGCTCCTGCGGGGCTGCTCCGCTCACCTGGCCTGCTCCGCTTGTGGCATTAATCAGTTCAGCATCTTTAAATACCTTTTCAAATGCAGGATGAGGTGGGGTTTTTTTTCCCAGAAATTCCTGACACGCACACACATGTACATACAAATAAATAAAAAGGAAGATCAGAATAGTTGGTGACACAATTTGAGGGAATGCAGTCTGATTTCATTACTCATTTTGTCAGTGTACTTTTTGTTGTATTTTCAAACATCTTTATTAGGAGCAAAAAAAAAGAGTATTTTGCAAGTGTTCATCTCTTTTTTTTTTAATAAATAGTGATTTATATACCTAGTGAGTATTTCAACTCAATTAAATTTAATTAATTTAAATTACCCAGTGAGTGCATCTGTAACGTATGGTGCCAGGCAGCAGAGCTGAAGCATCAAAATAGCTGTGTCTTCCCGTTCGCTGCCACCGAGGAGCCACACAGCCCCGCTGCGGCCGCGCGGGGACGTGCAGCAAGAGCCGTGGACTCCCCTCAACGCCACCGCTTTCCGTGGGATTCCTTAGAAACCTCTCCCAGCCTTGCTCCTACTGACATGAATTTCCTCGCGAACAAGCGTGACAAAGTCACTGACAATTCACTGCAGTCTGCAGCTGACCTCCTGATAGATGTAAAAATGAGTATTCCTAAGGACTATTAAGGAGCAGCACATTCCCGACACGACACGCTCACTTAACGGCATTTCTTCTGAATGTACTGCTTGATTTTGTGAACGACTGGATAAATCCTGAAGAAAGGAACTATTAGACCCTACTCTTTGGCTTTTTAATTACTCTGGAAGGTGATTTTGTGACATCTAGTAGCCACTTTGCATTATTTGCTGCTGTAGAGGTTTTGAAATGAAAATACCTGTTCTTTGACTTTCATTTGGTAACACAGCTACATTTTGTTCAACCCGCTTTGAGGCTTGCTGCACTGTGACTTGGAAACACGTGCTGTCATTTGAAGCCAACTGTAAATGCTTTTTATGAGTTAGTGAGTGCAGTCAGAGAGAATTCATGAACTTGTCAATAGGAACTTTTCCATTTCCTTGTTTGGACTTGATTTTATATGTGTAAGTTGAAAAATGCTAAATAAGTCTAACAAAATTTTGCTTTAAACGAACAGCATGGTCACTGGATTACAATCACCTGTATTTTTCCGGTGTCACTGCAACAGATTCACTGTTTTATTTCATTTCTGTGACAATTCCATGTGACTCTGAATGTCCAGTAATTCATTTATTTAGTGTTACGACAGCTACATTAGCCAATACACCACTATCATCAAACAGGACCAAGACTTGAAATGCTCTGTATGTTAGATAATGCCAGGCTAACCAGGACAATTTGATGGTCACATTTTTCATCCACATCATTTCTTTTTTTTTTCAAATTTATTTATTTTTAATACTGTATTTTCCCCTGCATTTTGTTGTAAATAAACTACCAACAGTTATTCTTTACAAGTGTAGCTGTTTTCTTTCACTGATCTCCTACTGCAAGGACTGTAGCCATTAACACTTCTGCCTCCAGCTCTGCAAATCCCCTGCTCAAAAACAAGCTGCACAAAGAACGGGTGTTGTAAGGGAAATTCAAGCCACTTAGGACATTTACTGAGGATGCAATTCAGGTTTTGTTGCTCCTCAAGCTTTTCCAAGATGTTATCATGGCAGGTGTCACACCACTCTGATGTTACCCATTCATTTGTAAATGACCATTTCAGTTGACCAAGGAAGTTCTTCAGCAG